TGTATAACAAAAATGGATAAATTAACCCATACAAGGAAATTCCTGGCAATGTTTGATCCGGACATGTAGATCGATGTGTAAGCCGAGATGCGGTTATACCAGGTATAATAGAAATGGAAATATAATACATCTTATAAAATGATATAGCATTTATGTATAACCACCATTATGCTCAGAGTGTGCCAGGGCGACTACTGAAAATCTGATCAGATAATAAGGCGCCACAGCCACAGCATAATTTCTTTGATTATATAACAAAACAATACTAATACGTTACTACTGGTTATTAAGATATATATGGCTGTGGCGTCTTATCACCTGATCGGACTTTTGGTGGTCGCCCTGGCGCACTCCAGCTGGTACGGCTGGGTTACCAACCAATCATCATCGTCCATAAAATACAGCATACTTCGTATGCAATAACTATATATTATTATTATTATTATTATTATTATTATTATAATTATAATTATAATTGTTATTATTATCATTCCCTTCTAATTTCATCTTAATTGCTCCGAGGAAGACTATTAATAACGAAAGCCGATTAAACGCAAGACCTAAAGACTTTAAGGTGGTGTTTACAAAGAGAGCCCTTACCAATGCGACACCCGCTTGTTGGTCAGTTGTTACTTTTCGGTGAAAGATCCAAAGCAGGACAAAAAATACCTACTTATTTGCTGGCCATTCAAAAAGTATCGTTTGATTCACAATATACCAAATCCGATTGGTTAAAAAAAATTAGCATAGTCAATTATTGTAACAATTAAATACATACACTTCAAATCGGATGTATCAGAAAAAGACACTTTAAACAATGGACATTGGCGCAGTAAATGGCCGGTAAATCAGTGGATTTCCAAAGCACTAAAAAATGCCTAGGAACTTGTAATCAAAGGCGGCGCTCTCTAATTCGACCTTATCTTATTATGAATAGTGATGTTATATGAATTATGCCTAAAATTAAAGCCAAAGTGAGTGAAATAGGACACACAACGCCGCTGACGTGCTTCAACATTCTTCAAAGGAATTCAGCGAGTAAATACCTTTCTCTTGCCCAGATCCTTGTATCGAAAGCTGTAACTTATGTACAGGATGTATTGAACTCATTTGGCTTTATAATTTTACTGTTGTATCATTATGTCTCAGCATTAATAAGTGTCATATAAAGTTTGAATAGGTACCAATCATATTTATTAGTTTTGTGGGTTGAGTCTATTAGTGTTGACCAACTGTGACGCGGTAAAATCGTTTCCCGATCATTTATTATTAATGTATAAAGATAGGTGTTGAACATTGGTTTCTTATATTTTTCGCGTTTTTTACTTTTTTTTGCTTTGTTGAGCTGATCCGTGTAAACAAAAAATTTAAGGGTAATGCTGGATCATAATCCATCCCCATGTATTGTTGTACAAAAATTTTAGGGTCATGCCCTTAAAAAAAAAGCACGTCTACACCATCTCGCGTTTCTATTTTAGTTTCTTTTAACAAATCAAAGTCGCAATAGAGATCCGTTAGGATAATGTCTGATCAACAAATTGAAGAGTTTCTTGCAAAAGAACCAGTAAGTTAATCTACTAATTCATCATAATGATCTAAACTTTTTTATACCTTATTTTTTTTTTTGGAAATAGAAAGTTCCAGTAAAATTTAACCATAATGTTCAAGGACTTGGCAAATATATTGGTTCAGCAAAATCAAATGTAAGAGCTAATATATATATATTTATTATTTCTTAATTATGATTATTCTTATTATTGAGAAATTCATTAGTGTTTTTTTTTCCACAACATATACGCGTTTATTTCTTAATTATAAAGAATGTTTCAGCAAATCAATGTGTAGAATTACCATTTTATATAGCCGCAGTTTTGTTTAAACGGTTTGAATTTACTAATTTTTTAAATTGTTTGAAAATGAAAACGAGAATGCTAAAAAAAATTTTATACTCTAATATATATACATACCTGAAAATGAATATTCCAAAAAATAAAAAGTCGTTTAGTTACGATGGATAGACCGGCATTTTTAGAAAATAAAATTGTAAATGCATTACAAGTTAATCCATTAAATGTTAATTTACGTATTTTATGTCCACAGTTTTATACTTTTGCCATAAAATATTTAGAATTGTATCTTTTTCATAAGAAGTTTTTTTTTTTATTTGAATGAAATTTCATATTATTCTGAAATTCTTTCCCGAATTTTGGAAACAGGTACGAAGATCCTGATTTAGCTGAAATTCTGATAAAGGTATGCATAGTATAGATGGGTGGCGAATTCGAAAAAGAATTTCGCCACCTATCTATATACGCACATTTGATTCTATATTCCGATTGTTTATTATTACCTTGTTTTTTTTTGACATTGTAGAGTAAGAAAATTAGAAGTCTTGAAATATTTGATCGAGCAAAGAGAATTTATGAAGATCATAATGAGTTTATCGAAAAATTGGATGATGGAGAACAACTAAGTACGTACTATTATTCATCATTAATAACTAATAACTAGTATATATAATAAAACTTACAAAAATCAATTGACTATTCAATTTACAGTGTTTGAGAAACAAAGAGCAATATGTGAAGATAGTTATGTAGATTATTTGAGAGATTTTTCGAAACGCTCCTGATAAGGTTGCGATCCAAATCTTCTTTTGAATTATGACATTACTATACTATATGGTTGGGTCTGGGAACCTGGATTTATATTTCATTTGGGATAATAAACAAACCCTAATAACCATCCATTTTTAGTCAATAATCAAATTTTTTAAATCGATGCTATAAATCAAAACAAGTGATTTAGCGACTAGACAGAATATGTAAATTGGATATGTACATAATAAGTAATAAAAGTGAAAGCTTTTCACGTTCAATAAATGAATGCACTTCTTGAATGTGTTCGATTCTTGACGTAGTTATATATCTGATCTCTAGCAGCATTTGCATCGGGACTTCTACCTCACAAAGTACTATCAGATCTTATCAGATTTCTGTTTACTTATTAGCTTACCAAAAAATTTTAGCATACCAGATTAGGGTGCGCTGAATTCTTTGCTAATTTAAATAGATATACATCTCCAATGGTTCAATAGCTTCAGTTAAAATTTTGTAAAGGTCAGTAATAAGTATATCTTTACAAATAAAGCTACAGTGCATTTTTTTCATTTGTGTAAAAAGTGTTTAAAAAGAGCAAAAATTTATATACAAAATTTTTAAGAGAAATACGTATTATTTTTATGGCATGCATGCCAGTCATTGCTATTGTGCTCGTACACTAACTGTACGTACGTACGTTGATAGAATCTCTTTTGAATAAAATTAAACATTTCCACCTTGTGTTTCTCCAACTGCCCTATACTTCTTTTATTTTGTGAATTGTAGATATAACAGATATGTAATATGCAATAGTTATTTCACGTTTTATCATAGATATCATTAAACATCACGGATCAATCGAGATATCATTCATCATTGCGGCGCAGCCGCAATGATGAATGATATCGAAATTGATTCGGGATTTTAATGATATCGACGACAAATACGTGTAATAATAGTATTATATACATTGTTCTTTTTTCAAGTTAAGATATTGCAGAGAGTGATCATATAAAAAGCTTTTTTTATTAAAAGTTTTTATAAACCTTACATGTTTATTTTATTAGCTATACATAAATATTATTTGGATTAAGACACGTATCTAATTAAGAATTTAATGGGCTACCATTAGTCTGGATTGTAACAATTTCGAAAATCATAATTCATACACGTGAAAAAAAGCATACGAATTTGAATAATACTATATAGACTATAGACTAAAGGTTATGAAATAAGCGAAGAATAATGTACCTTTTGAAAATAAAAGAACACGGTTCAACTTTAAATATCTTCGAAATAGTGCTTTAATTATTAAAATTTAGAATTTTATTAGTGTAATTGTACTTGAATTTATCGTGAATCGTTAATTGGCGTAAATTACTTTGCCACCATATACTGTAGTAAGTTCTATACATCACGTGATTTTTAATTTATAAATTTGTTAAAAACTACCTGGCTTTCCCAGGTGTTTTCGTAATGTTGCCAGTTTAAACCACGTCCAGAAACCAATGAAACTCCTCCACAAGATAATTGAGACTAATTAGCATTCTATAAATCAAAACCAGGACGGTTTTTTATTTACTTTTAATATTTATTACGTTAAATACAGTGTTATGGTTTTAAATTTTAAGCAGGGTACCAGGTTGGTACGCCATAGTTAAGGTGACTGGCATGCCATTATTAGTAAAGTAATTGGACTGATTAAACCAAAGTAATATTATAATTTATAATTTATAATTAGTTTATATAAAATTATATTGTTGCATGCCATAGCGGCTAATGGCATGCCAAATTTTTCAGCAGTGCCAGTCACCCTAACCAGATAGGAATTAGATTATCCAAAGAAATAAAGAACTCGAAGCAATATACAGTAGGTTAATTTAATTCATTCTAAGTTTAATAGTGGAGGCATAAATTTCCCAATACTATATATATATAATATAATATCTAGTTTCTGGATTTAACGTTACCTGCACCACTTAAATCAGATTCTCGTTAGATACTTTAAAAATAAGATTATTTATGTGAGAACAAGATATCAATTCTTCAATTTAACAAAATTCTTCACAAACAGAATGGATTGAAGTGAAATAAGAATTAGGGTTCAGCTTTCTTGGCATAACAAAGAAAAGTTAACAAGCAATCAAAGAAAATAAAAATTTATAGAAATACAATTTATAAACAATATATTTAATATATTTTCGTTAGCAGTCTCTTTTATTCTTATCTATTACGCTAATATTATCTAACCATTGTGACGCACAAACTTTGTACATATTCTCCTTGAAGTTGATGGATGTGATAGCGCAAGCCTCAAGAAGAATCTGTAACATAAAGATGTATAAAATCATAAATCACCTTATAAATAAAATTATTAACCAACTGATATGCCTTAAATAGTACTGAATTAGTATAATTCTTAGTCAAAAAACCTCTTATAGTATTATGATTGTATATCGATATGTTGTAGGTAGCTTCGGAATTTTGTGGATTCAGAATCCACTTAAATGGATTTTGAATCCAGAAACAACTTAAATCGATTTTCAGATCTTAAAATATTATTTAAATACCGGTTATCGAATATTAGTAAACATAAATTATGTGTTTAAATAAAAGTACTGTATTTCGCGAAAGATTTTAAGAGAAGTTTTTAATAAATTAATTAGTTCATAAATTATTTGAAAAAAAGTCACCTGCAAGTCATTATTTCAAAAACTTTATATTTTGCTGTACTGTATGAAAGATCGATTTAAAATTCTTTTCAGCTATAGAAGTTGGGATTGAACCGAATCAAATTATCACTACAAATTATTACTATCGTTAAAATAAAAAATGCAAAATAAAAAACAAAATCTTATGGATGTAGACTTTCTCTAATTTAATGTGTGGAAGCATTAAATGCAAAAATAGAGAATATGTTATAGAAAAAAATAAATAAATAAATAATATAATGATAATGCAATGTTGCCACAAAATTTCAAATCCATACATACAAAGTATCTGCCCTTTTTATCGGGAAAAGATTATCGATCACGTGTAAAATATCTATATAAATACTGCGGATGTTGCGGGCTTTTTTTAAACGTTAGTGTCTCTATCCCAAAGATTACTGCGATATGGGAAAACCAAAAAATCAACCTCGTGTCAAAGGAAACGTTCAACCAGCTAGTAGCAGGTATATATACCGGCAAATTAAATGTATATATATAAAAAAAATTAATTTCAATATCTTCTTTTAGTCGAGCTGCTGAAATTATTGCAACAGGTGGAACCCAGGTTCCTACAGAAAATTTAGGAGGATTCGCTCAATTCTTGGGTGGAACACCTTTTTCGACGTCAAAGTCTTTTTCACCTGATACTTCAGCTGATAAAACGACCGACGTCAACCTGGATTCAACTTTAGTGCTTATTTTTAGAAGATTATCCAAACGTGATACAACTACAAAATTGAAAGCTCTAGAAGAGTTTGAAGCATATTTAAAAGGAAAGGAAGAAAATGAAATTGATCCAGCTAATTTAACAAGTGTATGGGTAAATGTTATTTAATTTTAATAGGAGAATTCTTTTTTAATGATATAAATTGTTTATAAATTATTAAATGATTTACTGCCTAGGCCAAGTTTTTTGTCAAACTAGCAATTGACGTGGATCGTCGAATACGCTACGCAACATTCTCTTGTCATTTGTTAATAGTATCCAAAGTTAAAAAGCGGCTTGCATCCAATCTCAAAGAAATAATTGGTGTTTGGATAATATCGTTATTTGATCAATACAAGGACGTTGCTCGGATAGCGACAGAATCTTTTCAAGTTCGCGTCAATTTATATATATATATGTTTTTTGACTACTGAACGTATCGTTGAATGAATATAATATTGAATGAATTTTGAAAAATAATTGATTTTTATAATATAGACGCCTTTTCCTGCCGAAAAGCGAGTCGAAGTTCTAATATTCTGTCAGATGGAAATTTTATCTTATATTTCGGACATAATAATCCACAAAACGCCAGAAACATTAAGTACGAATTACATTATCCTATAAATTTACATATTTTGCATTAAAAATTGTTATTAATATATCTCTCGTTAAAGGTGATCCTAGGTTTACATCAAAAGAAGATATGATTTCTAAATATGGGAGAGTTGTCGCTAGCTCATATTACTCTCTTGCGCACTTGATAGGTTCCACCCTTTATTTAAGCTTATTAATTTGATTTATTTATTTTATGAATTAATTAATTAATTATTAATTATAGACCAACTAAATGAAGATTCATTATTAAAAGCTGTACAGCAGTATGATGATTTATTTAATAATCCCAAGACTTGGGTAAATTTAACTAATGGCAATCCGCTTGTCCGTAAATCATGTTACAATATGATAAAAGTTTTGACTAATAAGTGGCCAAGTAAGAACTTTTGTACTTCAATTATACCTTCAGCGATATGTGCCAAAACAGTGTTGGGTAACTGAATCGAGATTGAACATATAAAACTGATCGTATTGGACAATTGGATATATAAAATTTTATGTGTACAAAATTTTTAAAATTATTGAACATATGTTCAAGACCAACACTGTGCCAAAATATAGTACGGGACAGCACAAAATATCATTTTTACAGTAATATTTTATATAAAAAGTATTGATCAATTAAAATTATATACAGTATAATTTTTCTGAATTTTTAAACAAATCCGAAAGAGTGATTTTTAAATTACTAATATAATTGGATATTTTATTCTCTCCCGTACTGTATCTGTTGGAAAAATATATGTGCATTGTGTAAAGAATGTCTCATTTTGACATTATTTATCTTGAGAATTATAATTTTCAGTGTTTTTAACCACTCAATTTATTACTTAAACAGAAAAGGTTGAAGATCGTTTAGATGTTTTGAGCACGACATATTTGATGAATATATTTAATGAAAAGGATATCACTGTTTATGGCGATTTATGGGATTCTCTATTAGTATTCACTAAGAGTGAGCAGCTTTTACTTAAATAAAACAGATCTTAATGACAATCAATAATGAATATTTATCAAATATTGTCCTTTTTTAAATGAAGATTTTCCCAATTCTTGGCTACTTGCTAGCAAAAAAAAGCCAATGCTCAATAAATTATATAATTTCCTTCGATCAGCATGCTACGGGTCGACGTTGGTCTCGTACACGAGTATCCTAGCGTTAATTAGCCTTCTTCCACAGGAAGTAAGATTTCTTTTTTCACTTCGGTCATAATTATATTCAAGTATCTACAACTAATATAAAAATGTTTTTTTTTAATCATATACATCAGCTCATAATTAACGACCCAAAGTTTTATGATGAATTCTTTTTAAATTTTTGGAAAGGCTTGTCAAATACGACAATCGATCGTTCTAATTCCGGTGTATTTTTACAAGCCTATAGTGAATGTTTATTATATTTTATATGCAAATTAGAGTGAGTACTTTGGATAAATGCTTGTTTATGTTATAATAATAAACATATTTTGTTTATTCACTTACGCATATGTCGTCTAGCAAGTCTGAAAATGAAAAGCAGACGCGAGCTTATTTACTTGAACATAAATTTTTTGAATTAATCAAATTATATTTAACGGATTTCAAGGTAATACACTTTTATTTAGTATCAAATATATTTTATTTATTTCAATACTTAATTTTGGCATTCCTATATAATAGTCCTGTCAAAAATTCCAAGTCCAGCAAATGTGCTCAATTCTTGCACATAATATGAATCAATTGACTATAAAATTACAAGAGACAGGTTGAATATTGATGTTTAGTTTGTCTACTTAATATTTTATTATTGTTTAATTCTCTTACTTATTATGATGTCATTTTGGCATGTTTTTATTTTATATACAATTATTAAGACGCGACAGATATCCTGCAACATAAATTGCAGAATCTTATTGTCAATGTGATAAATGATGATGCCATTTTAAATCCTGATCCCAAGTTAGAAGATAATTTCAAAGAATTTTGTCAAAGATTGGTTGATTTCTTTATTGCTATATCTTCAACAGCTAAAACTGATAATAAACAAGAAATCTCTAATGCTATTACGAATATGGTATATATAGTATGTGATTTTAATCCTTTAGCTATATTGAAACAATTAAGCTGAGTTAAGTTTTATAGATTTCCGTGTTAGTCGAAGATGTTTTCTGTGTTTCATTATTAAAATGCAAAGAAAATAATGGTAACGTCAAATACTGTATTATAAAGTTTTTTTATTAAATATATTCAAACTTTCTGCTTGATTATTAATTTATTGTCGATGATATCCAAAGGTCGTTCCGTTGGTCTATGTCTTTTACTATCAAATTTGAGCCAAAATTTCATTAGCATTCTTCTTGCCAGAACTGCATCGAAAGAGGTATGCATATTTATCTTTTAATAATGGTTAAGCCTCAACTTTATTCTTATTATTATCTTTAAATGACGATTTGTAGGCACTTAAAAGCTTTCTTAGCAATACAATTTTTGATATTGCTAGAAATGCATCCATGACTTGTTTGAATTATGTGCTTGATTTATTTGTTTTGTGTTTGACGTGCAGCGCAGAATTACCAGAAGCTCAATGCAATTGGAATAAACTCGTACAATTCTTTCTTGAGATCGAAACGTTTGAGTCGAAAATAGATAGTCTTTATCTTCTGATCTCTAAAGTAAGTTGTCAAATTATCATATTGTAAATTATTCTGTCTTTTCATAGAATTCATCCGATTTTTTTTTTAGGTTTTTGACATAAACACTTCTGTCTCCTTTTTGGTTGAACAATTAAATGAATATTTGATAATTCTTAGCAATCAGTTACTATACCAACATTTTGAATCTAATACAAGGACTAAAATCGAAAATCTCCTATGCACTATTTTTTTATTTAAAGGTAAGATTTTTCATGATAATATATCCTGATTATATGTTAAATTTACTCAACTGACAAAAAAAATAAATAAATAAAAATAATTTAACATGAAGGCTCGTTATTAACATCCGAAACAAAGCTGAAAACTCTGAGTGACTTGACGAAAGCTATCATTAGTTGTGCAAATTGGTACTACATAGCTGAAGATTCAGTCATCTCCAATGAAGTTGCATTATCGGTTTTACGTATCTTCGAAAAACTATTTAAAGATGAAGAGTTCATCAAAATGTTTTTATATTCAGACCTGTTGCCAGTATCAGGACAAATTTTCGAGTTAACTTTTATAAGCCCCCATGAAGGTTTTAACACAGATGTTATAAAGAATATTCAGCAATTAGCCCAGGATTGCTGGGATCGAATTGCACTGGCATCACGTTCTCATCTTCGAGAGGATGTCGTAATAAACAACGTATCGCGACAAATAAAATCATCATTGCTAAACATTCATTATTCTGCAAGGTATAATTAATTAATGTTCCTTTTTGAGTCCTCATTTATATACAATTCAATAGCTTATTTGCTCTTATATATAGTCCTACAGATTTCGCATTACGTGTAAAGAAGCTATGTTCGTTTTACGACAATAATGATTTAAAATCGCAGGAAATCATCGAAATATTTCATATAGAAAATGAGATTTGGCGCGAACTCAGTAAACTTTTCCTTTCTTCAATTGACTCATCTCTGAGCATAGTCGATCCAATGTTACTGCCGTTAAATAATGATCAACAAAACAGCCTGCAAAAAAATAACCAAACAGCAGTTATTGTTGCTTATGATTCATATGGTTTAAGTGTTTACGGGCGCTTGGGTTTATTTTTGATAGAACTTATTCATAAAATTGGTGTAGATTCCTTTTTTATTGGGAATCATGAAAAGTTGTTAAAGATGGGCACTAAAGATGACACATCATATTCAAATTGTAATCGAATTATATTGGAATTATTACTTATATATGTGTTATGTACTGATATCCGTCGTTCTCGTAAAAGTGATCACCATTTATGGGATGCCTTTAATGTAGAGGAAAGTGATTATCGCGGATTCAAGGCATTTCTGGAAGATGTTCGTTTGATTGTCAAAAATTACGCTCTGCAAATGTTCCAAAATGAACAATTAGATATTAAATCCATATTAGACAACTTAAATGCTACTACGAGTTCCCATAATATTGTACATACTGGCACATCAGGTTTGCTTTGTGAAGCAGTAAGGAGATCGCATGGCGAGAATTCCGTGTATTGGGCGAGGGTTTTACATATTTTGTGCTCAGAAATATTTAGTGCAGCAAGTATTTCCCTTAATCAAGCTGAAGAATTCTTAGATGTGATAAAATTAGAATCTAGTGAGTAAAGCGATTTACATTCATATACAATTTCATTAATAATATGACATGATTTATTTTGTTATATTTCTTTTTAAGTGAATTTGGTAACGAAGATGGCATTTATTTTGTCATTGAAAACTTTTCTTGGTGCTTCCACAAAATATAAAGATTTTCAAAATGATATGGCTGTAAAATTGATTGGTTTTGATCCGATGGAAATATTTAGCGAAAAAGGTTTAGAAAGCAATAATGGTATTATGAATATAACTTATTTGTGAATTATTATCAATATAATGATTAACAATATATGCACTTTTACACATTCCAGG